CCATGATCGTCAGGCGTGGACCTTGTGCTACATTAATAATCTCAGGTATTCGCTAACACCATTAAAGCATTATGTACTTGTTGTTTGATGGATGGGGTTTGATAGTGGCACCTGGAACATGTTACTTCTCTTGCTTGAATTGATTCGAAGCTTCTTTTAAGATTAAAAGGGTATATTTATTTGTCTATTTCATAAAATGTTAGAGTGACCWCAGTAAGTCCGTGAAACTTTAGTAATACTAAATAGCACAATGTCATGCAAATTTCATTGTTTTCTATTGTTTAACTAGCACTATTTCGTACTATTTAGTAATTAGTGTTTCACGGATATTTCTTCATTGAGATTTTTACTTCATGGACAATCAATTTGTGACAGTATTAAATAAGGGGTCATTAACAAAGATATTTTATATGGTTACTCTTTACCCACCCAATATTGTCAGATTTCATTTTGGTTGCTAATTGATATGCAGTTTATTATTGAGAGCTCACTTGATTATTTTGGGTTTTCACTCCAGGAAGAAAGTGAGGTCCCAGATGATGAGACTATCAATCAAATGATTGCAAGAAATGAGGAAGAATTTGAGACATTCCAGGTAAGGAGCTTTCTTATTCGAATCATTGTTAATTCCTGTTGATTTCCACCCAAAAGGATCAGATGCAGGGACTGCCTTCAGGATTCTGGGACATTGGGAACCCTGTGGACAAACGGCAGCTCTCTTACCACTCCTGCAACCAATAGATCGAATTTTGAAGTTGATTTTTGTGGAGGGAGAAAAAAAAACCTCATAGCTCAGGAGAGAACCCACAAACAAATCTACTCACTTTTGACACCAAGACCAGGTCATCTTGGTGAGAGGCAAGATCTCTTACTGCTACTCTACCCGTGCTCCCCAACCAGTCAACACCACAGAATCGTATTTCTAACTAAATAGTTAGAAAGAATTCAGTGCTAGGCTCCTTTAACATCTCACTTTTTGGTCTTTTCAGAGAATGGACAAAGAGCGACGTCGACAAGCAGCAAGGGTAAGCTACCTTTTGAGCTCATACATGACCATCACAACAGTACTGTTTTGATGTGACTTTGGCTTACAATGCATGATTCATTTTTCTGTAGGAAGGTATTCGGTCAAGATTAATTACTGCAGAAGAACTGCCACAGTGGATCTTAAAGGATGATGCGGAGGTAGGGTAAAGATGGCCAATGGAATACAAATTGTGTCTATATATAAGAGGGTGGGGTTGCTTGTCCGAAATTTTTAAAATGAACCCTAAAAGGTACCAGAGTCTCGTCCAGATGGGCATGGATTTTATCAGGCCATAGGTTGTTTCAGTGTTTGATCTGTCAGCTAGCCATACCCTGACTTACATCAGCCCAGAGGTTGTTTCAGTGTTCAATCTGTAAGTTAGCTGTGCCCTGACTTAGATCAGCCCAGAGGTTGTTTCAGTGTTCAATCTGTAAGTTAGCCATGCCCTGACTTAGATCAGCCCAGAGGTTGTTTCAGTGTTCAATCTGTTAGTTAGCCATGCCCTGACTTAGATCAGCCCAGAGGTTGTTTCAGTGTTCAATCTGT